TGGTTTCTGGTCGGGTTTTGGGGTTTTTTTTTGGTTTTTTTTTGGTTTTTGGGGTTTTTTTATTTTAAAAAAAAATGAATTTTTATTTAAAGCTGCTGCGGGGGAGGGGGAGGGGAGGTCTCGCCCCTCCCCCCCCTTTGCCCCTCCCCCCTCAAATAAAACCGTGAGAAAAAAACCTCCCGAGTGCTCTGTGGGGTGGGGGAGGGGCAGAGGGGGAAATTTGGGGGATCAAGGATGGGGGAGGGGCGAAATCGGGACCCTCAAGGGTGGGGGAGGGGTCGGGGATTCCCCCCCGGGCCTTGGGGGAGGGGCCTGAAGGAACAACGTCTGCACACGGCACCGAATGGGCGTGGCTTCTCCTTATTTGGAGATTGGGGCGTGGCTTGGCCGCTTCCACCAAAAGGAGCGCTTGATTTCCTTATATGGCAATTGGGGCGTGGTTTGGCCTCGTTTCCGGGATGGGGGCGTGGTCTTTCCCCTCATAAGGCTTGGGGGCGTGGCTTTTCCTTAAAAGGAAATCAAGGCGTGGTTTCGCCTCGTTCCTGGGAAAAGGGGCGTGGCTTCGCCTCACGGCGCTCTTGGGGCGCGGTTTAGCCTCGTTCCCGTCAGGGCGGGCGTGGTTTAGCCTCATTCCCGTCCCGGTGGGCGTGGTTTAGCCTCGTTCCCGTCAGGGTGGGCGTAGTTTAGCTTCGTTCCCGTCCCGGTGGGCGTGGTTTAGCCTCGTTCCCGTCAGGGTGGGCGTGGTTTAGCCTCGTTCCCGCCCGGGTGGGCGTGGCCCCGCGCTGAGGGAGCCGCTCCGGAAGCGGAAGCTCGGCCCGGCCCGGCCCCGCTCGCTGCCCGCGGCCCTCGCACGATGCCGGCGCTGCTTGAGCGGCCGAAGCTCAGCTCGGCCATGGCGCGGGCGCTGCACCGCCACGTCATGGTGGAGCGGGAGCGCAAGCGGCAGGGTGAGCCCGGGCGGGGCGGCCGGCAGCGGCGGGGGGAGCCCCGGGGGCGGCCGGAGCCCCGCGGGCTCCCGGTGGGGCGGGGGAGGCCCGAGGGGGGCGTGAGGGGAATGAGGGCGCGCTCGCCGCGTCTCCGTGGCAACAGGCTCCGCCCCCTGGGGTCCGCATAGCAACAGGCTCCGCCCCCCAGGGTGTGCATGGCAACAGGCCCCGCCCCCGGGGTCTCCATGGCAACAAGGGCTGGGTTTGGCGCCGTTGCCGTAGGGAAAGGCCCCGCCCCCAGCGCCGTTCCCATGGTAACAGGCCCCGCCCACAGGTGGCGCCCCCTCCAAGCGCGGGCCACGCCCCCTTTGGGAAGGGGTCAGGGCAGAGGTGGGACCCCCAAATCCCAACAGTGACCCCTGAGTGACCCCTGAGTGACCCCTGGGTGACCCCCGGGTGACCCCTGGGTGACCCCAATGACCCCAAATAACCCCGCTGACCGCTGGCTGACACCAGATGACCCAAAATGACCCTGCTGACCCCTGGGTGACCCTTGAGTGACCCCTGGGTGACCCCAATGACCCCTCTGACCCCTGGGTGACCCCTCTGACCCGAAGTGACCCCTGGGTGACCCCAATGACCTGAAATTACCCCACTGACCCCTGGGTGACCCCGCTGACCCCTGAGTGACCCCAATGACCCCTGGCTGACCCCAAATAACCCCCAATGACCCCTGGCTGACCCCACTGACCCCTGAGTGACCCCACTGACCCAAAATGACCCCGCTGACCCCACTGACCCCAAATGACCCCTGGCTGACCCTGCTGACCCCTGGC